ATGGATGGATGGATGGATGGATGGATGGATGGATGGATGGATGGATGGATGGATGGATGGATGGATTGATTGATTGATTGATTGATTGATTCGTTGGTCCGCCTTACATAGCTCGACGCTGACACATAGCTTAGCCAGGCTTGGAAGCTTTGCCGCAAGCGGTTGCTGCTGTCTCGTGGAGATGTGCCAGGTCGCAAGCGGTTGTGATGCTGTTTCTGCTGTGGGCTGTGTGGCATTCTTTGCATAAATGGGTTATCACAGCAGACCAGGGCGCTACTTGGGGCTCCTGGCCATACTACTAGGAACAAGAAGCTACTAGGAGCAAAGGGCATCGCTACTAGGAGCTAGGACGCTACTAGCTGGTCCTGGTCTCCACAACCGATGAAGGTTTCTGAAGGTGGCTGCTAGTTACTGGTTGACGGGTGCCCCTAGTGAACACAGAACTAGCTTGGAAAGAATATCTAATGTCTTCATCCCGAAACTGCCATTATGTTTTGACCCGCGACCCAATATTGAAATTCATTGAAATTACTTCTCGTGACCTGTATGCTTGACTTCCCCTAACAATCTTACATCGTGTGAATATCAATTTCTACCATGCGAGGGTTCTTGAAGATCTTCAAGCAAGCTAAGGGCGGGATTACTGTAAGTTTCTTTGAGCCCGTCCTGGCGTCCTTGCGCCCTTTGCCTTTGTTTACTACTAGCTTGATACTACAACACAAAAACCACCATGGCCAGGCTCCGATGGAAGCTTCGATATTTGCTGTGGCAGCGGATTTATCAGGTGACACTTGCAGAGCTGTTTCGGTGAAGTCCCACAAAAGAACACATGGATTCTGATGGGGTGGCCCAGCAGGTGAAGGATACTGTAGCACCTGGCTGGGTAGGCTTTGGGATAAATTTTGGGTTTGGTGGGATTCTAGACCCGTGCGGTCGGGGCGACAGTTGGTGTCCGGAATTTTACTGAGATGCTCCGCCAGACGACCGTTTTTCCTTTTTCTTTGTTGTGTTCTATTCTTAGCAAGAAGCTACTAGTACCAAGAAGCTACTACGCAGGAGGCCATTGCTTCTAGGTTGGAGGCCATCGCTAGTAGGTTGGAGGCCACTACTAGTAGCTAGAAGCTACTAGTAACATTTTCGGAGCAGAGGCAGGTGGAGCCATTGAGTTTCGTACGCGCGATCGGAATAGAGGCCGGATCGGGACGGATCCTGCCAACAGTTTGTACAACGCGGTTAAAAAATACCGCCCGATGTACTAGTATCATCTAGTATCTGTATTTGCTTTTGGTTCAATAATCCGATTCCATCCTATTTACTGAGCAGATACCTGAATCCTGCCGATTCTCATCACAAACCCATCATAACGAAAGACTTGGCTTTTGATCTACCAAGTCCATCTACCAAGTCGTCCTGCCTTCCCGAAGAACTGAACCAGACAGTCTCTGTCAGGCCCGCTGAGTCAGTCAGCAGACCCTTTGGCAGCACAAGGCAACGGGATGGACATGGAAAAAAACTCGAGTCAGAGGCCTGTTTTTTTCAGGAGCGTCTGCGGCTCCGAGTGGGTCTAGAACGATAGAAAACATGAATTTAGATGATATGATGATTAATCCTTCCTCATTCACCGATTTAATTATAGCCTGGGTGGTTGGATCGTTCCTGCAAGAGATCGCCAGTAACACGAAAGTTCGCCAGTGGACGATGTGCGGTTTTGATGTGACCTGCAGACGAAGCGATAGATGTGGATCGAAACGGCTTCCAAGTTTTGAATACCATCTACAAGACGTTCTATAAACTTGACCTTTTCTTGCCCAAAGGTGGCTGCCCTGACATGATCCAACTCCTCCTTCGCACTTGGTGCTTAGCAAGATGCAAGACTCTTGAAGATCAGTTCCTGAAATCTTGGAGCAAGATCCTCTCACGGAGGCGGCAGTTTTTTGGTAGCCTGAAGCGGTCGCTCATCACAAGCAACATCGAGGAACAGGACGGATTGGGTTGGAAAGGCAGACGCCGTAGTCAAAGTGCATCTTTGGGGAGGTTTCAGTCTAAGGGAAGAACAAAGCTGGAACAGGATTGAACTTAATCCATGGATGGTGTCGTTCACACCCAACTTCAGCTTCGCATTTGATAGAATGGGGACGGTATATAATAATATGATTTTTTTTTTTCAGAAGCAACCTTATTTGTATATTTTATACACGGGTGTTTCATACAAACTGTGATGTTGAGTTTTCCTCGGGCAAACCATACGATACATCCAAGAAGACAGAACTCCCATTGTTATTTACATTATATATGTCTTAGGATTTCCTAACATTTAATGATTTAATGCATACACCCTAAAAATGTATGTTTGAACAGGAAGGCATGCCTTCTAACCATGCTTTGATGTCAGAATGGACAAGGCCCCAAGGTTCAAGTCTATCTGAATCTTGATTAGATTTGATTTTCAATTGGTTCAACTGATTCAATCATCCAGACAGCATGGGACTTCAGCTCTCCAGGCGAATCCGATCTTCAGCTGCTTGAGGTGACTGGGTTGCGGAAAGGCTGATGTCATGTATATATATATATATATGTATATGTATATATTAATATAAATAAGTCGAATTCATGTAAGTTAAGCCACGGTGAGCTGCCTGCAGCATGAAAACTGCAGCCTTCTATTTCATCCGTTTTCAAGCACACTGGTGCCTTTCGATGAGGCATGGACTCATCAAGCTGATTTGCGTAACACTAGCCCTCGCTTCAATGGTTCTAGCCACATGCTCAGCTGAGAAACTTTGTGCCTTTGTTCCCTTCAGTTCATGTTAAGCAACTTCTCTTCGCTGTCTTGGATCTCTGTTTCTTGCTTTGACACCTAAGGGAGACTGGTTGTTTTGAGATGACTGCACACCATGACTTTCAGAAGATTCAAGACGTGGGTGCAATCTTCTTGGTGCAGTGGATTCGCTGTAGTCGTTTCTGGCTCAAAAACGTTCAAAATTCGCCAGTCGTGGCCAGCCCCGTTTCTTATTGGGCTGGCCGACTGCCGATCCTTCGCATCGATTGGCTGTGTAGGCCATGCCCAAGAACTTGTCCGTGGAGGACATGGGGAAGTGCGGAGGCTGCATCACAGAAGCCGTATTGGAGAGATCCTGGCCTTGGATTCAATTGCGGATTCCTTCAGATGATGCCTCAGTGGCCAGTTCAGAGGCATCAGAATGGTCAAAGAGGATTAGATCTCGTTGGATAGGGAGCAGAAAACACATGAAAAAGGCTAAACAAAAAGAGCTGCTGCTCCAAGGATTTGATCGTTTCTTCGGATACTGAATACATGGATGTTTTTAGGCGCATGCAGCCCGTCTGACGGGCGCTCTTCATGGTGCTTTCAACAAATCCGTCCATTTCGCAGCCCGTCTGACGGTGCAGGTTTCGGAGGGCGCACGGGAAGAGCCTCATGTCCCGTGGCCCGATTCTGAAGAGGACTTTGAGTCAAGGTACCGCCAGGAGTCGCTGGTGTCGAGCCCTACGCCGTCGCAGGTGCCTTCACTTGAAGAGTTAGATCCTGGCGGCCCTGGCGGGCCCTATCTTCCACCATGGTGCCTTGTCCAAAGAAAGGTGTGAAAACCGATGAACATCATGAGGCCACTCAACTTTTCACATTCTAGAGCATCTTGATCCTACGCCTTTGTTTCTTGACTTTTTGGCACCTTTTGTCAGTTGCACCTTTTGGAGAAAAAAAAACACGAAACCAAAAGCACCGAGGAATGCGCAGCGCTTCAGATTTTGGAAGGTGCTCATGATGGCTGCACGCAGCGGTGGCCAAGTGGAGTTGTACGTGGACCTGATGACCGCAGGGATGGTGGCGGTGAAGCATCTCCCACGGAGCCGCTTGCGTGACAGCCCGCAGGCCTACCAAGAAGCATGGCCAGGTGGGGGGGGCTAAACACCCAAGGTGGCCAGCCGTGGCGCACCATGCTCCAAATGGAACATCATCCAAACATGTTCAAAAGCAAATTCAGCAACATGGCTGGAGTTTAATTCTGGCAGGTGAAGTGGAGAACCCATGGAAGGAGATTGAGATCATGACACCTGGATGAAGTCAGAGAAAAGATGAGTGACAGTGCCATGATTTATACGTAAATCTCTTTTCGAACAATCTGAGTCAGTCTTTGGTGAGTCAATACTGATTGAAGAACTGCTTTGGTGACTCTGGTGCGTGCAGACTCCAACTGCTTTTGGTATCTTTTGGTGTTCTCGGGGGACCCGGAATGGTCCGACTGTCGGATTCACATTCGGTCGTCACCCAGTCGATCCACTACAGTTGTCGACAGTCGACACTCGGACGGTGACGTGCGGTGCAGCAGCTTGTGCCAGCTTGTTTGCCTTTCCAACACTGCCCTGCTTGTGACAACCAGGGTGCCAAATCTACAACAATGATTCCAGCGGCCATTGGTGCATGAATACTTGCTCAAGCGCCGAGGGCATTTTCATAGAGTAATTGCAGGGACAAGGTGCCAACCAGAAAGATCAATAGAGATCATAGAATCATAGACTCTAGTAATTGAATAATTCAGCGCAATATTTAGAGAGTTTCATCAGTATCGTTTGTTCATCGTCAACCTTTGGGTTTGTTTTGGCCAGTTGATATTGTTTGTTTGCCTTGCAAAGGACGCGCTTCGGTATGCCTGGACCAGAGCAACTTCCAGGCATTTGCCATTCATTCGGCACTTTTCGAACGGAGCAAGGTGATGGGATGCTGGTCTCAGAATATCTTCCAGGACCGATGGGAGTTTGGCAGAGATGGTGTTTTGGCAATCCTTTTCTGTTTACACACCTGTTGATCCAGCTGTTTCACCCTGTCTCACTCGCTTTCATGTTAGACAAATACGCAACACACGAGTTCCTGTTTCATTACAATCACTTCACATACTCCAGCCGACGCTATACATCGTCCTAGTCCAGCCGACTCATCACAACAGCGGAAATATGCTGAAAGGATTGCAATGAATGTCTCTGTTGGACCACAACTTTGTGGACCTTCCGACAACCAGGCACTCACCCGCTCACACAACCATGCATCGCTTGTGTCCTACGAAGAAGGTACCGCATTTGGCGCTTGAGATGTCTTGCTGCCAACAAATCAATCAAACGAATGCCGACGACTTCCTCGAACAAGCTGGCAGCACCACAAACTCAAACGTTTACACAGAAACACACACTTAGGATAGGGTGTACTGAACTGAAAGCGGTGCCACACGCCAGCCTAGGTTACCATTTCCTAAGAGTACAAGTGAGAACCAACGGATCCTGGAGGTCTTCAAAAGGAAGTGGGGCCAAAAGAGCAAGTCGGGGTCGAAGCGACAGGGTGACGGCGTAGCGTGCATGTCTGCCGAAAAAACTTTAAAAGTTGATGCAGGTACGTCAGCAAGCGTCCTTGCTGATATCAGCACAACCTGAAGAGCCTCTTTGTTAGATGCCCTCTCTTCAGGTGTGGGGCATCCCCCTGCTTAAACATGAAAAGGAAAACGGAGTCAAAAGTACAATCCAAACGGATCCCGGTGACTACAAGGGGCACACACACTCTGACATTGGTTTGCTGTTAACTCAATTCCCACGATGAGAAGGAAGGCGATGGAACGGAAAGGTGCATGAGTCAGCAAAACAGTATTGTTTAAAAATGTTCACAAGTGGCCTCGAAGTCGATCTGTACAATCGATGCGGTGACGAGCTCAGCTGCAGGGAAAGGGTTACTTTATGGGAGGAAAACAAACCACCATGAATCAAGCCGAGCGGATTGGACAGCTTGTGCAAACGTTGATCGCAGGTACACACAGTTGATCAGACTCTGCATCCACCGACAGGCATAGCTTTGTTAGCCAGCGTTTGCTTGTCGGCCGCTGGCCCCCTGCTTATCGAGTTGAGAAATGACAGGTAGCACCCTTTGGAACAGGGGTTGACATACACACGGTGCCGCTTGGCGGCGCGTGCGTGGAAAGCCTGAATAGATACCTAATAAGCCTTAGAAACAAAAGAAAGAAACACAGAAAGAGCAGCGCTAAGAGGGCAAGAGAGAAAGATAGGCGTAGAAAAAATGAAAAATGAATACTTAGCCCTTGACTGGGGTAGGGAAACGAGCCTCAAGAACAACCTAAAAAGCCTGAGAGAAAGCCCAACAAACGACAAAAAGCGCAGGAAGGAAAGGGGGGGGGGCAGGGAGGGGGTGTATGTCCATGTGTGTGTACGTGTGTGTGTCTGAATACTTAGCACTCTAGGGTTACTGACTACTTAGCAGAAACGAATTACAGTGCAATAGTTAGGGAGCGGGACTTTAGTCTTAAACCGCCCGGGTAGAGTAGACTAGAAAGGGACAACAGAGGGAAAGGCACCGACACACAAGTGTGTCGAGTACCATTTCCCTGTGTTACCCTAATTAGGTAGGGAGTAGAACACGGTGGGGGGGGGGGTTGGGAAACCTGCCTCAAATGGGGTGAATTCCGTTTTTAAGCCCGGCGGCTGTCGTATCCGTGAAAGCCCGGCGGCTCTAAAGGCAGTAATTCAGGGTTGATGAGAACATTCACGTGGATTCTAGTTGGTGAGATTTCCAGAAAGAAAGCAGTTACACGATTTCCGGAATGATGACAGCGCCTCCTTGCGGAGGATCACACCCAGCACCCAAGTGGGACGGCTGAGCGATTCACACTCTGACATTGGTTTGCTGTTAACTCAATTCCCACGATGAGAAGGAAGGCGATGGAACGGAAAGGTGCATGAGTCAGCAAAACAGTGTTGTTTAAAAATGTTCACAAGTGGCCTCGAAAACATGTAACCACCATGAATCAAACCGAGCGGATTGGACAGCTTGTGCAAACGTTGATCGCAGGTACACAGAGTTGATCAGACTGTGCATCCACCGACAAGCATAGCTTTGTTAGCCAGCGTTTGCTTGTCGGCCGCTGGCCCCCTGCTTATCGAGTTGAGAAATGACAGGTAGCGCCCTTTGGAACAGGGGTTGACACACACTCTGACACTTGTATTCAGTTAATCAATTCCTCCGATGGGAAGGATGGCGGTGGAACAGTATGGCGAAAAGTCCGAGAACTTGTAGGTGTTTCAACAAAATTGTTTCTCAAGTCTGCAGAAACAAGCGGTGCGCTGCGAGTCGGCTGCAAAGCTAAGCTGCAAAAAAACTCCGCGAGGTTTGGGGAAGGAAACATGAAAGACCATGGAAACAAACCGATCAAATTAGACAGCTTGTACAAAAGTTCAGCAGGTACACGGAGGTGATCAATCTCCGCATCCCCCATCGTGGAACAGCTTCGTTGGCGCAGGTATCCACGATGGGCCTGTGCCCCCTGCTTGCGCGATTGGAGGCCTGATAGAGCCAAGCGCCCGCCCCCGGCGGTGGTTGGATCCCTGATTTTCCAGGGTTGGGAGGGTTGCGTGTAGGTGATGGTACGTTGCGGGAGATCAATGTTGAAACCCAGGAGATGAAAGTCGTCCACGGGTTCCAGTTCGACTGGGTCGCCGAAGAAGTTGTGGTGAATGAGGGTTTGAATGGCTGGATGTTCAAGGAAATGCTCATTGTGGACAATAAAGCGGTTGTCAACGTAGCGGTAGTATGTGAAATGTAAGTCAGTGTGCTGGAGCAAATTGTTGTGGATCTGGTGCCAAGAATGTTCGATGAGTGTAATGGCAACGTTGCAAAGGGCTGGAGAGAGCTGGGATCCAATCCCAGCCCCTCCGATTTGCTGGTAGGTGTTGTTGCATGCCCGGAA